TGAGTCAAGAGCAAGCATGGCAATAAACCTAGATGTGAGTGACAAGGAGAAACTGCACTGGCAATGTCAATGTATACTTTGTGTGAAAAATGACGGTTGCTTGTCCCTCTTTACTGAAACTGTCACAGAAGTGAGGAGCTATAAACATTCATCTTATTTCAGTGACATTTCTAGGGAGCCGATTTCATCCCTAGCTGGAACCATCAGTAGAAAATACACTGCTGCAGGGATCACTGTGTACAAGTGTGTAAGTGTGTAGAGAAATACCAGAACAGCATCTTACAAATAGCAGGCATTTGCTGGGGTCTTTGGAGGCACTTGGGCAATTGTTGGGTAAAATGCAAAAATCTCTCCACACATTCTCTCCTCTACTTTTCTAACCAGAAGTGCAATAGTGGTTATGCTTCTTTTCTTCATTTTCTCTTCCACATTCTGTGGTCAAGTAGCGCCCATCCTCATCCAAGGACTCCCCAGTAACTCCAAACATTTGGAACAGAGTGGTCAAAGGACTAGGCGGCACCATTAGGTGTAAGAGGAAGGACTGATAGGAGTTCAACAGCCCTCCCTCTGCATGGACTCCAGACCAGCAGCCACAGCTGAGTCCTGTGATTTGGGGCAGCGAAGACCAGAACCACTTGCCTGCTAAACCCCAAAAGTGTAGCCATGACTTGCTGGGCACCAGTCTTTGAGGAGCATGAGTGCAAAGAGATACTCACTTTCTTATAGACTCTTCCAAGAAGAAAACAGAATTAAAAAGATAAATAGATGTAAAGATTGAATTTTGGGCCCTATTACATGCTGCTTCTCTGTTTCTGTTGGGCAGCCCCACATGTAAAGAGTGCCTGGCACTCACAGACAGGTTGACGATTGCAGTATGCCGGGAGAATAACAAAATCAAGGAAGGACAAGGTTAAGTGCAGGACATGCTTCCACTAACGGCAACGTGGAGTAGGCTACAGCAGATCACCGCAGTGCTTTTGCTGAGCCGTTCCCCAAAGCAAGGCTGGGCATTACATGCTTGGACACTCGAGCGGGACTCGAAGCTGCCCGCTGGGTCTCTCTGCGGTACACCATCCCCGAGCTTAGCTATGGTTTCTCCAAAGCTCTGTCTAGGAAACGGAGAATGCTTTTGCCCTCTTATCTGGCGGTGACATGATGAAGTTGTCCCTCCTGTACAGAGTTCCAGCACACTGTGTGCT